AAGATGATCAACACTGTTAAAGGACTGCTAGCAAAATAGTTTGAAATGAAAGATCTAGGCACTACAAATCTGATCTTGGGTATGCAGATTAAGAGGGAGCGTGACAAAGGAAGATTATGGTTAAGTCAGCGAAAGTATAAAGAGAATGTTCTGAAGAAATTTAAGATGACTGACTGCAAGCCTGTGTTGACTCCCATGTCTACTGGTTATAAGTTATCGGCTTACCAGTGTCCCAAGACTGAAGAAGAAAAAGATGAGATGGCGTCAGTTCCTTATGCTAGTGCAGTTGGGAGTCTGATGTATGCCATAATTTGTACTCGACCTGATATTGCTCAAGCAGTGGGAGTATTGAGAAGGTATATGTCCAAGCCAGGAAAGGAGCTGGACGGCTGTGAAGCGTGTGTTCTGCTATCTTCGTGGTAGGTCTGACCTTGGGTTATGCTATGAAGGCGTAAAGGGCTCAAGGGGACATACATTATTAGAGCTGAGATGCTTTGTGGATGCTGATTGGAGAGGTGACATTGATAGTAGAAGGTCTACAAGTGGATATGTTGTTTCATCATTCGGAGGAGCTATCAATTGGATAAGTAAGAGGCAGAGCACTGTTGCTTTATCTACTACAGAGGGCTGAGTACATGGCCTTGACATATGCTGTTAAGGAAGCTATTTGGTTACGGAGATTGTGCAAAGAGCTTGACTTTGCACAAGGAGAGATGATCGTTGGGTGTGATAGTCAGAGCGTCATTTTCTTGGCTAAGAACCCAGGTTTCCATGCGAGGACCAAGCATATCAACACACAATATCACTTCATCAGAGAAAAGATTGAAGACAAGGTTGTATTGCTGGAGAAGGTTGACACAAAGGTCAACAATGCTGATTTTCTAACAAAGGCAGTGACTTCAGAGAAGTTTGAATGGTGTACGCATTGGCATTGAAGAAACATGCGAAGTGTAAGAACCCGCACTGTTAAATTAGAAAATTAAATTAATTAAATGTGAAATTAGGAAATAATTTCATAATTAACCCTAATTATTATGAGAAGGCTTAAATAATTATGATTAGTGATTAATAATGCTGAAAGTCGCTTTTCTGACGAAAAGTGCAGATACCGGTTCTGCCTCTCGGTATAAGATGAAGTATCTCGAAAAATTATAATAAGTATGAGAATATTCCTAGAATAATAATACATAGGACTAGTATGTCAAGTTTCAAGTCAAAATAATGAGTTTTGGTGTCAGAACTGATACTGGTTACGTAAAAGCGCGTACCGGCAAAGTGCTGCGAAAAATAAAATAAAAATATGACAAATTCTAGAAAAATGGCTAGGTTAAGATTCTCAAGTTTGAGATTAAAATGATAAGCGTAACTATTAGTGCTAATACAGTGGGATTAAATTTAATGAGACTATAAATAGCGATTGGCACAAAGACCTAGGTCAGATTATCATCTTTCATACGAGAGTTTTCTGAAGCTTGGTTCAGCCACATTTCCACCCTTCTCCTCTCCAAGAAATCACTCTTCTCTCCATGGAAATGACCAAAGCTTTCACCTTTTACCTTCTCCATTCCATCTAATCACTAGGGAACCTTGAAAGCAAACACTTTGGTAGGAAAAAACCTCATTTTGGAGCCACAAATATTCTGCCCATGTGTGTTTAAACACCATCTCCATTTGGGAGAGCTTGAATCACCCCAAGCCATTGTAGACTAGTTGTTTGGCAAGAAAGAACCAACTTTGAAGAACCATTTTCGTGCTCTTACCTTGGCAGCAGTGGGGAGTGGGTTGCAGACCATGAAGTCCCTTCCTTTTGCTTTCTTGAAGCTCTTGGATATATACCTCAACACCTTCCTTTGTGTTTTCATGAATATAACATGATCTGAAGATGTAAAACTATGAGTTTTGATAATTTGAACGTTGGTTGATGACCTAAGTGTTAAAATACATGCTAAGTCGATGGGATAGATGTATCTAGGTGAAAGATGGAATTTTTAAAGGATAATTTCGTGCTAGGCTGCTGTTTTTGGCCTCTTTCGCGAAATATCCGGATATGATATCCGGATATGGCATATCCGGATATTGAGACAGCAATGAACCTGTTTCGGTAAAAATTTGATATCTTGAGCTACAGAGCTCCAAATCAAGTGTCGTTTGGACCTATATGTAGCTAACACCTAGTGATACAACTCTGTAAAATTTAGTAGCCATTGGATAAGTTGTTTGATCTCAGTGTTAGTTTGAAGTCGCATTTTGGTTGTTGGAAATTCAGTTTGCAGCAGTCACTTTGCGAAAATCATAACTGTAGTTATACAACTCCGATTGAGACATAAAATATGTCGTCGAAAAGCTTGTGATGTCTAGTTTAACATACTAAAATCTCATAATTTTTGGTAAGGAGTTGCAACTGCAATTTTAAAAATGGCAGGAGAAGTTTGTTGTCGTATTCTTAAATAGAGTTGAATTCTTTGGAATGTTCTTCAAGGAAATGAATTATAGACTCTATGGTACTTGTAAGTGATGTTCTAAGGTTAAAGGACCTTAGAGATTTGACTTAGTTTGTCCCACCTTGAGTTGGTGTCACTACGTAAAGAATGACTACGTAAAAGATAATATATAGAAGAATGTCGTAAATGAGCATATTTATTAATTGTCTTTATATCTTGAAATAGGTTGTGATTTTGTGAGGGCCTATGATTGTGGTCCTTTGGATACTGAGAGTTCATTGGAGCATGTTGCGGATAAGGTAAGCTTTCGTGTCATCGGTTTAGCCATTGTTGGTTCCACCATACCCCATGGGGGAATGGTTTATATGTATAATGTGTTTTTATGTATTGATTTATTGAAATGCTTTTGAGCTGTTAAGTGCAAATGCCCTATGATATGTATGTGATCTTCGCCTAGACGGGATCATGATCCTGTGGGCAGGTACGACATTGGTGTGTACTATTATGGGTTGTAGACGTACGTACATCCTGCGCTTCTCTGGCCAGTAGAATAGTTGACACACATGACATGATTATCTACTGCATTGCACTGATTTTGGAACTTATATTGTTAAACTGTTTTTAGAAATTATAGTGCACATGTAAGTGAGCTTGGGGTGGAGAAATACTTGAGGACCCCTTGTCTTACTGAGATTTCTGTTTAGAGATCTCACCCCACGTTTGGGACACCATTTTCAGGTTCAGGTAATGCGGGGGTGAGACCTCTAGCGGCAGGAGGCCGAAGCTTAGCTGATATTTCTGCTTTTATGATGATATGATATGCTTGGATGCTGACCTGTCTTGTATTTATTATCATGTTTTTGGATTTGAGACTTGTTGGGCATTGTTGCCTTATTTGGTGAGCATGAGGATTGTCCATGCCACATTGACTTGACTTTATGCTTTTAGATTCGAGTTGTATATTGTATCAGGATTATGTCCGGTCTACGTGTTGTATTTCCGTCACTTAGATACTCACTTATTTATATATTGAGGTATTTCAGTTAGCTGTCTATTTGCAATTACATACAGGCAATATTTTGTAAAAGGATTTAATAATCAACTTGGTTAATGATAATGACGTCATAATGAAAAGTAAAAATTTATTCCGCATTTTTAATTAAGCGTGACTTAATACAATGACATGTTAACAAACCGGGTATACACGGGGTATTACACGAAGCATTCACCAAGTGGGGGAATATTGGGTATGACTCATACTTTGCATGCTGATGAGAGCCCTAGTTATCGGGGTCAGCAGAAAGGCAACTGGGGTCCCATAAATAGCTGCTGTTAGGGTTTTCTAATCCTATTTATATTTTTCTTGTAAATCGAGTGACTTGTAACGAGTAGCGGTGATGTGAATATAGTACAGACAAGCTGGAAGTAGCCTAAATTGGGTGAAGCAGGATAAATCTTTGTGTCTATTCTCTCTTTCTCTTCTCTTTTTCGTTTGCGATTTGTGTGATTGTCGATTTCCAACACAAAGGAAGATTGAAGTGTCTAGAAATTTGATGGAACAATGGATGAACTGGGAATTTTGTTCCAGCAAAGTAACATCGACATTAGCATTATTCCATAATATCCATATTCCACCAGAAAATCCATTTGCCTCTTCAATAATTTGGTCTGAAAAATCGAGTTTGGAAATAATTGCATGGCCTTTTTTATCACTGGTACATGGTTCAAGAATAGTTGCAATTTGGACTTTATATTTCCTAACATAATTGCTAAAAATACCTCTGAACTGTAATCTTGCTGCTCCACAACAGTTCCAAGTAAATAAAGTCATAAAGAAACATTAGAAGTTACGAATAAATCTTTGGTGCTACTGTTGCACCAAAGATTCAGTACATCTCACCAATCGAAATATTACATGTTAGCTAAAGTATTTTTTTCTCTGTCAAATTTTTTCTCTCTCCTATGATGTGTAATATTCTCATTAGTGAGATGCACTGAATCTTGGTGCAGCAGTAACACTAAAGATTTATTCAGAAGTTACAGGGTTACAGGTCACCTGTTCACCTTGTAAATCATTTGCATGGAGTGTTTAATGAGAACTATCATATATTTCCATTTTCATTGTATTAGAGATATCAACTTCGTGTTACAGGAATTTATGGTATCTTCATCACAACTCACCATGTTGTCAAGGTCTAGTTCCTTTGGTTTCAAATGATCATTTGTATTTTGGTGATATGAAGTCTCGCATTGCTCACCAGAAGTAGACGATGGAGGAACATATACGTAGAGATGAGTTCTATCACTCTCAATACATTATTAGATAATATAAATTTTGTTAGCCTAATAGTAAATTTAATTTTTATATGACTTAAGTTAACATATTTAGAAAAGTTAATTAATTTTGTCAGTTTGTTCTCAAGCGCTATGGCTTTAACATGTTTTACTAAAGAATGTTTATTTTGTAACTTAATTGAAAATATTTAACTATTTTTCCCATTTATTAATTATAAAAAAAAGGAATTAGACAGAAACACAGAAACAGGGAAACAACGCTCCTTAACCCCATTTCCCGCCTTCACAACACAAATTCGGCGTCCATGGCGGACAACAAGAAACGGCGGCGAACGAACCCAACCGGCGAGGAGTTACCCTTCAAGAACAAGCTGAAGCCAGATTCAATGATTCTGCAAACCCTGAAGGACTTAGCAGCTTCATGTTCTTCTTCGTCCTCCACTAAAACCCTAACCCTCCAAGACCTAACCCTACCCTTCCCTTGCCGCGAGGTCGCCGACCTCTCCCTCTCCTCCGTCGAATCCAACATCGAATCTCTCATCCTCAAGGTCGCACACTCCATCCTCTCCGGCCACGGCTTCTCCTTCGACGTCCCCTCCCGCTCCGCCGCCAACCAACTCTACGTCCCCGAACTCGACCGCATCGTCCTCAAAGATAAATCCTCCCTCCGCCCCTTCGCCAACATGTCCTCCGTCCGCAAAGTCGCTATCACCGCCCGCATTCTCCACCTCATTCACCAGCTCTGCCTCAAAAGCATCCACGTCACCAAGCGTGACCTCTTCTACACCGATGTCAAACTCTTCCAGGATCAGGTATTTCGCTTTCCCTTCTAATTTAATTTAATTAATTAATTAATTGAAACCAAACAATTAAATGAAATGTGAATTAATAGATCCAATCCGACGCCGTTCTCGACGACGTTTCGTGTATGCTGGGGTGCACTCGATCGAGCCTCAACGTGGTTGCAGCGGAGAAAGGGGTTGTAGTGGGAAGGTTGATTTTCAGTGACAATGGGGATATGATTGATTGCACGAAGATGGGAATGGGTGGAAAAGCTATTCCGCCGAATATTGATCGAGTTGGGGATATGCAGAGTGATGCTCTGTTCATTCTCTTGGTGGAGAAGGATGCTGCTTATATGAGATTGGCTGAAGATAGGTTCTACAACCGGTTTCCGTGTATAATCGTGACGGCGAAGGGGCAGCCTGATGTTGCCACCAGGTTGTTCTTGAAGAAGATGAAGATGGAGTTGAAGCTGCCTGTGTTGGCTCTTGTGGACAGTGATCCTTATGGGTTGAAGATTCTATCGGTTTATGGATGTGGGTCTAAGAACATGTCTTATGATAGTGCCAACTTGACTACACCTGATATTAAGTGGCTTGGGGTTAGGCCTAGTGATTTGGATAAGTACAAGATACCTGAGCAGTGTAGGTTGCCTATGACAGAACAGGATATTAAGACTGGGAAGGACTTGTTGGAGGAGGATTTTGTGAAGAAGAATCCTGGTTGGGTTGAGGAATTGACCTTGATGGTCAAAACTAAGCAGAAGGCTGAAATACAGGCTTTGAGTACCTTTGGTTTTCAGTATCTCTCTGAAGTTTATTTGCCCTTGAAATTGCAGCAGAAGGATTGGCTGTGACTCTGAGTGATGTGATAATGTCTGAGAATTAAGATACTGGTTAATGGTTATATCACTGTTTGTCCCAACTGCTCTGTAGCACCACTTTTCAGTGGAATGTGGATGAATTTCTAATTATCCTTCCTTGCAAAATTGTTCAATAACTTTCGTTCAAATATTATGTTAATGGTCTACGTTTTCTCAGACTTTGTTTATGATGTTCTGTCTTATTGTTTTCTTCTTATGCTTGCATCAGTAAACGTAGGGCCAACTTTACCAAATTCAAAAACTTTAGTGCTTTTGAATTGCTTGAGTTTCTCTTGATGTTTGTTCATAATTCTGAACTGAAAGCTCTATAGGTCCATAGCAATTGTTTCCAGTAAGTGCTAGTGCAACTTGGAAAAAGATACTGAAAAGCTAACCTTCCTGTTAAGTGGTCCAACATTTTTCTTGGTGAAGATTATCATTCAAAGTTATCTGATATTAGTTTGGCTAAACTTGGCCCACTGGGGTAAAACCCATGTATCAACAAGGGTAATGAGCACCTATGGATATTGTGCTCCATTGTATGCAATGACAGGGCAACTGACTCTGAAATCAGATGTTCATAGCTTTGGTGTAGTTATTATGGGAATAATTACAAAAAGAAAAGCAATTCAAAATCTGCAGGAGAGCAGGATATTGTTGCATTGGTAAGACACTCATACTGTTATTTCATCTCACAGGTATAGCTGATGATTTAAAGCAGGAGAGCAGAATAATGAATTGTCAAGAAAACATTTTGGATAGTTTCATTCGCTTATTAATGGTTAAAAAATAGTCAGCGTGGATTCAATAAGGGGAGGTAAGTATTTCCATATGAATTAACCTTGGTTGGGAATTTTTACCTGCACAATTATACTTAAGCTTGAGAATTTGTGGTAAGAAATCATTCCATTTAAATACTTTATGGTTCTCGGTCACATCTTCGTTAAAAGTAACAAAACATGGTATGTAATTAAAGATGTACAGTATTTTGGAAGAAATTTTTTTTCATTGTTATTCTCCTTTCAGATGATATTTTCTTCTGAGTTCTATTTTTTTTCCTTCTAATTTGCCTTTCTTTTGGAAGGCTTTCTGATCCTACTCTTTATTTTCTTTCCTGCTCAATAAATTATTCTCGGATAAAGAAATTCCTTTTATTGTGATGTTGAAGCAGTGAAGCTAGTGGTCAAAGTTTTGCGTATCCCATACACTCTTTGACTGACTTTTGGATATTCCCTTGTGATATTGTGACTTGGTCCTTGCTCTTTATTTAAGTAATTTGATTAAAATTTGAGTTGAAGCTTTAGACAGATTACTCTCACTTAATTGCATACTAGACTCTTGTTTAAAGATCGAATTTTTTTTTTTTCACGAATGGCTGATCCAATGCTCCAAGGTCAATATCCTCCAAGAGGGTTATACCAGGCCCTTGCTGTTGCAGCAATGTGTGTTCAGGAGCAGGCCAATATGCGTCCAGTTATAGCTGATGTTGTCACAGCTTTGAGTTACCTTGCTTCACAAAGATATGACCCCAATAAACAGGCAGCTTGCCTCCTCCCTGGTACTCCTCCTAAAACCAAGAGGGGACGGTGATATAGAGCTCGATGTTTGCTGGCTATTTGATAGTCTGATGCAAATCTCAAAACATTTTACAACACTTTGCAAGATATAGATGTATAGATGTTCATACCAGTGGTCTTATGGTGGTGTTCTCTCAGTTCAGAGCACAGTTGCTAAAAATCTTTGAAATTTTGTTATGCTTCTGGTGCACAGAACTGCTCCTATTTCCATTTGGAGCCAAGATAGTATTTCCATTTCATTTTTAGTGAATTCTATTTTAAAGCAAACTGCTACGTTCATGATTTTCCTTCTAAGCAATGGTTCCACTGGTGTGTACCCGCATTCAATAGATGTCTATTCTTCTTTATCCTGGTTGTTGTATAGTTAAGAAGCACTGTAAAAATATAGCTTTTTCAACCAAGAAGTATGCATATATCATGTGTTCTGCCCTTTTATCTTCTCTGGAAGTTTATCTGGTCGTGTGGAGATTTTTTATGTAACTTGTATTTTACCGTTTTATGCCGTGCAAATTGCTCATGAAACATACATTTTTCATCGCAAAATACTCGAACTCAGTATCATGGCATATGCACGCTTCTGATAATGAATAACAGTAGTTAACTTTACATTTTTCATTGCACAATACTTGTCCTTTGTGTCTGATTGAGGATTGGTCTTGTACGATGTTTGTTGCTTTGCACTGTCATCCATGCATGGGCAGAATTACTGTTGTCCTCATGCACCCCACTCTGAACCCCACCCCTTTTCTTTGGCATCTTTCTCATCGACCAACTCTTCGTAACTCTTCTCTAGACATTTATCTTTATCATGACCAACTCTCCCATAATTGAAGCAAATAAAATGACTACCTACATTTTTCCACGAAGTTCATACTCCTGTTCGTTCACCCTATATACTATGATAATATAGGCTTTCACGGATCCAGTTCAAATCATACAGCAGCCACAACTTTTTTGAGTCATTGAGGTATTAATTAATTAATTTGCAAGCAACCTCATGAGTTAAGTCGGCTAATTACTAACCTTAATAGCAACTCGAGCTTTTAAAACCGGCTAACAAAATCCATTTGGATGAGGTCATTTTTAGACTGGTTGGCCCATTCCAACCCATGTGAGTTTAGTCACCCAGTTGCCCATGCATGGCTTTTTTATTTAAAATAAAATAAAATAATTTTTTTCTTAGCCCGTCCTAAAATTAAATCAATCTAGGAATCAACATAAGAGCCAAACCATAAATCAATTAAATCAATTTTTAAGGCAATTTTAGGAATTAAAAATTAATTTAATGTCGAATAAATTAAATAACTAGTCCATTCATTAATTCATCATTTAATTAAAAAATATATTTTTAGTTAATATTTTATAAAGAAAAAAATTTAAATTAGATTTTGAACCAACATCTCTGATGTGAATGGGCCAAATCATAGTAAAAGTATTTATATCTAGCTACAGTTTTGGGCTCAGGCGCTCAGCTTATTTTCTATACGTAACTTTGTACTGACTTGACACGTGTGGGACTAGGGGTAGATCGGGAATTCCAGTCCAATATTTGGTCGCCATCTTTAATCTCGACCCCATTTCCGGTTCAAACTCCAAACCCTAAACTAACCAGACATCCTCTTCCCGGCAGACACATCGTCCTACACGACACGAACATAGAACCTTAACCTCAAACCCTAATTTGATTATTTCCGAATTATATTGAATCTATACACATACATATTAATTTTTGATGCCGATAAGCGATGCCGCCCAAGCAGCAATCAAAAGCTGATGTAGCTAAGAAGCAGAAGCTTGTAGAGGACAAAACCTTCGGTCTCAAGAACAAAAACAAGAGCAAAAATGTCCAGAAATATGTCCAGAGCCTCAAGCAAAACGTGCAGCCCAAGCCCGATCCTTCCAAAGTCGATGCCAAGGTATTTTCCCCTCTAATGTTTTTTTTTTTTTTGTTAATTATAAAATTCATTATTTATAGTCGTAAATCCATTGAAATTTGCATTTGTTTTTAACTGTATTGTGTAATGATGATAACAGAAAAAGAAGGAGGAAGAGAAGGCCAAGGAGAAGGAGCTAAATGATTTGTTCAAAGTTGCTGTTAGTCAGCCTAAAGTGCCAGTTGGTAATCATAAAAGTTTTCCTTTTTTTTTTTCTTTCCCCAATGGGTTTATTCAGTTTTGTTAGAAACTAATATGTATATGAATTTGGTCAGGTGTTGATCCTAAGTCCATATTGTGTGAGTTTTTTAAAGCTGGGCAGTGTGCAAAGGGCTTCAAATGCAAGTTCTCACATGATTTGAATGTTCAGAGGAAAGGGGAAAAGATTGACATTTACAGTGATAAGCGAGACGAGGGTATTGCATAAAAAGTTCAATGATGATAATCTTTGTCAAATGTTGTTTTGGTTTTGGGGACTTTCACTTTTTCCTAACTTTTTGGTTTGGATCTTATGTTGTCAGAAACAATGGAGGATTGGGATCAAGAGACCTTGGAGAAGGTGGTGGAGTCAAAGAAAACCGAGTATAATCAGAACAAACCAACTGACATTGTACGTTTTATTAGATTTTTGGAAATGCCACTGTTACATTGGTTTACTTTTGATATTTTGCATGTTCTTTTTTCATGGTTCTCTATGGTTTTGGTTCATTACAGGGCTTCTTTCGGATTTTTGATGATATTGCATTATTTTGGAATCATAAGTATGATTTGGCTAATGCAACTCGAAATGACCAGTGTCTGTTGTTTATGTACTCTGTTCAGGTCTGTAAATTCTTTTTGGAAGCGGTGGAGAAGAAGCAATATGGTTGGTTTTGGGTCTGCCCCAACGCTGGTAAGAATTGCCACTATAGACATGCACTTCCACCTGGATATGTTTTGAAATCTCAAATGAAGGCTTTGTTAGAGGAAGAAACTGAAAAAATATCAATTGAAGAGGAGATTGAAAATCAGGTCAGTTATTTTTTCTTATAATAAGCTATATTATTTAATATTGTATCAGGTTATCTAACAGAATATTTAACATGGTTTAGCGTGCCAAAGTGACAACTACAACTTCTATGACTCCTGAGTTATTCTTTCAATGGAAGAATAAGAAGATAGAAGAGAGAGATGCCAATTTGGCTGCACAACAGGCAGAGAGGGCTAAGAATGACCGCATGAGGTACATCCACTATCTTTCGCCTTTTGTTCACTTGCAAATGTGTGTACACCCCCTCCCCCAAAATTACTCAAGAAACAAATGTGAATCAGGGAAGGAACTTTATGTTGTTGAACATGTTTCGAAAAAAGGAATTTACAGGTTGATACGAAGGCTGATGATCTTTACTTGTTTTTTTTGTTGTTGCTAATCATGTTATATTATTTCCTCCTACAATGCAGTGGTCGGGAGCTATTCTTGTCAGATGCTAGCTGGTTTGTGGATGATGCTGAAGCATATGACAAGTACCAGAGAGAAACGGAATCTGATGATACTGAACAGAGGGTAAGTTTTTTCTTCATGTCTGTCTCTGCATATTTTGATTGCCTTTTTTATGGATGTAGCTGAAAGCCTGAGAAGCAACCTGGTGAATGAAAATCTGAGATGAATGATGCTGCATGATTTTCATTCACAAAAAAATAATAATGCTGCATCACCACCACAGCTGTTGGAATGTTGTGACTTTTGTTCAAAAAAGTAAAAACGTAAAAAATTTCACAGCTTTAAACTTGAAAAATTTTTGTGGCCAAATTGGCTGCAATGCAACTGCTTTGCTGTAGTCAGCATGACTGTAATTGCAGTATCTGCAAAGCAATTGCGACTACAACTGTAATTTAAAACCAGTATATGTACCCTTTTTCTATTATAACATTGTAAATAAACTAATTATGTTTTTGAAGTTTTGCACACTTGTGTATTGTTAAACTTTGCTTTTGGATCCATTGGAACATGGGTTACATGTCAGGGTGTAGCTCATCCTCCCCTTCCATATACCCCATCACACTCAATACCAATTGGGATTTAAGTTAAGACCTCTAAGTTGAAGAATTGAATTCATTGGGTTTTCCCCTTGGGAAATTTGATAATCTTTTAAGTAGTGTCAAAAATGCACAAGGCATTGCCGAGGAGGACACAATTTTCATTAATGACTTTCACCTATTATCTTAATCATTTAGGTTGAAAATTTTCTCAACATACTCATCTTGCTTAATACTACTGAAAAGAACAATCTCCAAACTAAGATGTAAATGTTGTCTGCCACCAAATTGTTCACAAAGCTTCTTCAACCTAAAATTGTGGCCAATGACCATACAAACTCAGTTCTTGATGTTAGCCCAGGATTTGAAAATACTGCTTAGCACACACTATTCAGTTCTTATTGAGATCACTAGTCCACTATGTGTTGATTCGAAAACCTGTTACATTATATAACCCATCCTCCCCTTCCATATACCCTATCCCACTCAATACCAACTGGGATTTAAGTTAAGACCTCTATGCTGAAGTATTCTATTTTAATCTTTGGGCTGTCCCTTGGGAAATTTGATAATCTTTTAATTAGTGTCAAGTTGGTCTTTAATACAACATTGTGCATGAGTCCCATATCAAATGGATGTGGACGCAAAACCCCCGTTTAAGGCGGAGGCTCTTCCCTCTTTTCAGGTTGGCTTTTAGGAATGGGTTCTGCTCTACATCATGCCTTGAATTATAAATTTTGCTTAGGAATTCAGGCATATGACAATGGAGCTGTAATGCAATGCGTCATCTCTGAGCTCTAACTATACTTCTTTAGCAGACACCTTGTAGCAAGTTGTCTTCTCAGTTTTTTTTTTTTTGTATAATTGTCCATTATTTTCTTGAAAGAAGCACACTTGGTCTGTAAGGTAGTTAGAATGTGTATTGCCAAATTATCCAGGAATACTTAAAAAAATTTGTATTAAGTACACAACTTGTAAATGGGAGCCTTGGTACAACTGATGGTGTTGTCGCCATGTGATTTGGAGGTAGGTCACGGGTTCGATTTATGTAATTAGCCTCTTGTTAATGCAAAGTAAAGCTGCCAACAATACACAATACACAATACACACATACATGGATTTGACCCTTTCTTATACCCTGCACATAGCGAGCTTTATTGCACCAATGTGCCCTTTAAGTACACAACTTGTGCTTATTTCCAAGCACATTGAAATGGGGATATAATGTATCTGTAACGAGTTCAAAAAACTAAAAAGCAATGGAGATTAAAAAACAACTCCCCATTAAATCTCAACTAATGAGGATTAGGTTGAGAGAAATTCTTGTACGCATGCAGCTTTACCCTTATATGTTTGCAAAGATGTTGTTTTCAGAAGTCGAACCCATAACCTTCTAGCAATAGAGGTTCTTGAATAAAAAATGGTGACTTTGTTAGTGCTTGCCTCTGGTTTGCTGATGTGGTTGGCTTTAGACTAATACTCTGATCAAGTCAAGTTCTTCATATGCTTGTGTTTTCCTTTGTTCATGGAGCTCTGCCATTAATAAAGAATTATAGCCTTGTTGAAGTTTTCTTTATTCACCATTAGAAGGACAGTATTATGATATGTTTCTAGGGGCAAGGGCTAGCTCTCTGATCTCATTCTCCTTGTTTTATTTGATGTGCAGTTGAGATATGTGCTCTTAAGTTTTTTAATTTGGTATCATTTTTCACATTTACCGACATATATTTCATATTGCTAATGTTCAATCCAATTTCAGGCGAATGGAAATGCTGCTGAAGATGGTCCCAGCTCCTCAGCAACAGCTGGTGTTGATGCTGAAGTTCCTGATGACGTTGATGACGATGATGATGATGAATTGGACATGGATGAGTTGAATGAATTAGAAGCAAGCTTATCAAAGACATCAATCCAAATTAAGGAAACAGGAGCTGAAGCTTAATTCTGAGAATTAGTTGTAACCTTCATGTGAAATATGCCTCTGCTGAACAATAGAGCATTTGTTTGTAGCCGGTCACTCCTTGCTTTCAAGGATGTTTTTTGAATGAAGCATTTGATGATAATGAAATTATCATTCGCAGCATCGCATTTGGTATGAACTATGGCTGTTTGGTATAATCCGGTTTTCTGCAGTTAGGTCTCTCATTGGACCTTCAACAGACGTTTTTGTTGTTTGGGCACGGGTAGTCTTGTTTTGTACCTTATTTTGTTCATGAGTTTGTCTATTTCGCAAACCGGTTTTTGATATTGCTTTTATGCTTGTGATTTTCTTGAAACCATCAAAGCATAAAGTGGTCTTTGTTATGTTATGGATGTTATAGCTAGATATCATTAGGGTATGCTTCTGAGTTAGGAGGGGGAGGAATTTAAAGAAAATGAATGGGAAAGGAAAGAGTATGCGAGGTTATATAATAAAAATTCTTACTTGTTTAGAAGTTTGAAATATTTCAGAGTTCTTTAAATTGGATGAATTTCGAAATGTTTAAGAATTAATAAATGAGGGTTTATATAATCTTATTTTCCCTCATCGTTCTTTCAGTCTTTCTCTATTTCCTTTTAATAAAAAAATTCACTGCGCAAATTCTTACCTTGTAACTTTATTATGTTGACGTTATTTTTTTAAGTTTGATACTAATTCATCGAGTTTGTATATGTAGGTGAATCTTTTTAAGAATAGGGTAAATGTATTTTTATATCGGTGTAACAAAAAGAAGGTTTACATTCATTTTTGGTGATCAATTCATTTGTATTCAATCAATGACTCAGATAATTAATAAAATCATTAGGTATAAGTGAGATTAATGGCCAATTTAAATTGATATTGTAATTTATACTACTATAAAATAATCGTGCTTATTGTTTTCTGTGAAGGGATATTTGTGATTTATCAAAATAATAATAATAATCGTGCCTAATATATTAGGATTTTTTTTTAAAATTAATATAAGTTAAACTCTAAATTTTAACCCTTAGTCCTATTATTTATATTCAATTACTTTAATTGATTAGATATGTAAAGAATTCAGTACAAACAAGTTAACCGCTATTATTGAAAGTAATGCAAGTCAATCCTGTCCATGTATATATAGTATTAAATATTTGTTATTTTTTTAAGTCCTATCCTTATTTACGTTCCATTCATTAATATTGAAGTAACAATGTACAATTTTTTTTTTTTTTTTTTGTAATAATAACAATGTACAATTTGGATACTACACTCAATGTACAACGACCAAACTAGTATACTATTCACAAAAAATTACCTGAATGCTATGGGTTGGATTTTTTTTTTTCAAAATACCACATCACCTAACTTGTTATAACACCTAGCGAGTTAAGTGTGGGCACGTGGCAGCAGATTCATGGTCACGTGGCAGCAGCGTGTCAAATTCGCTATCCTATATAGCATGTTATGTACTAGCTTGACGTGTTACGTATTTAACACATGTCAAACTTGCTATGCTGCTAGTAGAGGTGTAAATGGACTGGGTAGGTTAGGCTGTGGCTTAAATAGGCCAGACCTGTGTAAAAGCATTGTGTATGGCCTGGCCTGTTAGCATGTGTAGGCCCTAAATTATAAGTCTGGCCTGACCTATATTTAAAAAATAAAAGTTTTAGCCTAGACCTGTTAGCCTGTTTAAGCCTATTAAACATTCAACAATTAAAAGAATAACAAAAATAATATTATTTTATTATTCAAAATTATTAAAATAATAATTTTATTTATTATATTTTAAATAAATAATATGATATAGGCTGACCTGTAGGTTTATAGGCCACACATGTACAAAAAAGCCTATGGCTTATTTTCTAAATAGGTATTTTTAAAAGCCTAGGTCTGTTCTATTTTACTATTTATAATAGGCCAAATATGATTTAATATAGGCTAGGCCATAGGCCTCTGTTGGCCGGCCTATCCCATTTACACCCCTAGTTGCTAGCATTGTACGTGTCACATTTTCTTACACGTGGTCATACATGCTATGATGCATAGCATATTATGTGTAAGTAATCCAGCACTCTAGTATTTTTAGTCTAATAAATTTACTTCTCCTAAAATTAATTAATTAATAGTTTTAAAATAATTTAAATTAATATAAACTAAATTAATTAACAGATATAAATTAAATTTAATTCATTAACACTCCTAAATTAAACTAAATTACTTAATAGTTCAATTTTTTTTAACTTAACATAAACTAAATTAAATGAAATTAATTACCACTCCTAAAAATAATTAATTAACAATTCTAAAATAATTTAAATTAATATAGAAAAATTAAACTAATTAATTAACAAACATAAATTTAATTAATTCATTAAAACTCCTAAATTAAATTAAATTACTTAATAGTTAAAAATAATTTAACTTAACATAACTAAATTAAATTAAATTAATTAACACTATTGCATTAAATTTAATTAAATTAATTAACACACATAAATTAAATTAAATTAACAGTCCTAAACTAAATTATTTTAACATAAGTTATTTAAAAAAAATATTCAAACTAATATTAATTTTCCTTTTTATTTCAAAATATAAAATTCAATAATTAAAATTATCCTATAATTTATTAGACCACAATGATGCAAGAAATGAGAAGAGAAATAGTGAATTTATTAGACCAAAAATGCTGGAATGTTGGGCTACTTACACATAATATGCTATGCAGTACAATATGTATGGCCATGTCAGAAAAGCTGACACGTAACGCTATGTAGCATAGCGAGTTTGACATATGTTAGACACGTAACATGTTATTCAGTATAGCGAGTTTGACACGCTATATCTACCACGTAATCTCGCTGCCCTCAGTGGCAGAACCAGGATTGAAAGGGGGGGGGGGGGCGAAAATTAACTTTTTGTCTTGCATAATATCAATGTTTTCTCCACCTATTGACCTCGTACCTTCATGAAACTCATTTAGGTAATTTTTTACCAAAATATTAACATTAAGAACATTTCAAAGACCGAGAAAATGTACAATTGGCCAGGTCCAATAGATATAAAAAGTAGTTTAAAGTAATAATTAAACAAAAAAAAGGAGAGTGGCTTCATTCAACTTTAACATTAATTAAAACAATGCTTTTACTATAATATTTTTTTAAAAAAAGAAGAAGAAGACTGCAACCAAGTTGTCCCAAAAAGTGAATTTTTTAAGTTAGAGCAAACTCATTTTCTCTACATGAAACCACTACACAAAGAGAAACAACATCATGCAAATGAAAAGAGAGCAAAGCAAAAAGGCCAAAGCTTTCATTAACCAAAACATAGCAAATGAAAATAAAGAAAAAAAATGCAGAAAAGGGTACACATAACCCACACACGTTAGCTGAAGTGGAGATAGATTTCAATTTGGATCTTAAACCAGAACTTCCAAAAGAAGCACATTTAACAATAACAACAATACCACGTCTAGCCTCAACTGCATCAAATTTTTTTTTTAGGGGAGGGCGCCCACCCAAGCCTCCCCTTGGCTTTGCCCCTAGCTGTACTATGCAGCGAGTTATGTGGCCATGAACTTGCTGCATATATCGATACCTAATTCATTAGGTGTTGTAGCGAGTTAGATAATGTGATATTTGGGAAAAAAAATTTCAATCCATGAAATTCAAATAATTTTTTTGTGAATAGTGTGATATTTTGGTCATTGTCCCACTCAATGCAAATATGAGAAGACCTATGACGAACTATTCCTGAGATTAGTTTGATTTACGTTATGTTAATTTATTATTTAATCATAAAAGTGATATTGGTACTGTATTTTCATGGAAATTTTCATATATACAAAACTGAATTGAGATAATCAGTGCACCATGGACCACAACTCAGATATAATGGGAGAGGGACGTAAGTGACGAAAAGTTAGTTCCCCACGTGCATTCAAAGACAAACAGCAAGAAACGTATGTAGATTGTAGAATATAAAAAAAACAGTTGGCAAGCAATCTGAAGAGGCGTGCTTCATATACAGTGAAGGAATCACAATAAAGTATAAATCATTGACCTACAAGGGCACAATAATTATAAATAATTGATACACTTTCGTTTTCCATAATCTATGTCTTTATGATATGCATTATCGAATTTTTGAGAGTTTCATCTTAATTTTCAGTTCATTTTATTTCAACCTCAAAATATTCTAGTTCTAGTTTTTATCTCTGATCATTCTACTATTCTAGGTGGAGTATATTAATATCAACTCGCGTTCATAATAAATCTTATACCTAAGATGTATTCAGTATTTTAAAATCTCATTCCGCCTCCCGGGTTAACTTAGGTAAATCTTGACCTCTTCTCTCTAAGAGTTGGGGTCGCAAGTTGGATCCTATATGCGAATAAATCTTTGGTATTAGTGTTGCACCAAAGATTCAGTCCATCCCACCAATAAAAATATGACATGTCAGTCAAAATTTTCTTTTTTTTGCCAAATTTTTTCTCTCTCCTCTGGTGTGTAATGCTCTCATTGATGAGATGTACTGAATCTAGGTGCAACATTAGCACCAAAGATTTATTCCTTATATGCATATCAATCCCTCCGACCTCCAAAATCCGGCCGGGTTTCAGTGACTCCCGATTTAGGGGAGTCAAAGGGGGTCACTGCATGTTTTTTTTTTTTTTTTTTAAATTTCCATGAACCAACATCGTTTTATTAAAAAATAAAAATAAAAATGCTTGCAAACCTAAATCTAATCGTTCTCTTCTCTCCCAGCGACCTAGACATCTTCAATCTTCACCTCGTTGCCGTGAATCTTCTAGAAAAGGTAAGAATTTTACCCATTCATATGAAATCCTTACGGTCGTTGATGGAAAACAAAAACTCATTCTTACTTCCTTTAAATTTTTCTTTGTCAGAGACCTTCTCAAAAGAGACAGAACCGGGTCAGTGTAGTGACCCTATTAGAATATAAGTTTTGTACTTTAGTATCTTGATACTTTAATTAGGTTGTGTAATATTGATTTGTCGTTGTAATTGGTGAATTATGTTAAGTATATTTTGAATCTTTGATGATTGGTGATTTGTTTTTTAAAATATTTTCATATAGGATATATATAACTATATTTTTTAATATATAAAACCAGGTCAGCATAGTAACCCCGTGACCCCCGGTTGAACCCGTGACTTCGTGACTCCTGACCTCGGTCAGGTCGATGGCCGAGTCGGGTTTTTAAACACTGGATGTATTTATCATTCAAAATATAATTTAAAAGTATAAATATCTCTATATTATAAAATTCAATAATGAATTTATTAGCAGGTATAAGGTATATTACAAATCCGAGTCCTATAGCAATTCAACTCTTATATGTGAGAGACTCATTTTAAGGGCATGACATGATACAAATATAGTGGGAAATTGGGAAAACATCACATAACATT